GAACTAAAATATATAAACTTTAGCCTTGGGTATCTCATAAGTTTGGGTGCCTATCAAGATCTTCTGTCCCTGCTCATAGCTTCTTCAGCTTCAGACAGAGGTCAAGTAACTCATCTGACTTATTTGGTCTGGCATTGAGATTGAATCAATAACTGTTTCTCTTCACAGACTCTTAAGCTGTTCCTGTAAGAACCAAAGGAATTATATATAGAGCTACCCAAGATCCTTTTGGTTATGCTGTCTCCAGTACTGGACACATGTCTGTATTATCTTCATACTGTCATGTGCATCCAAGGTAATTTGTCTTTGTTGAGAAGAAAGGATAGATGCAGCTTCAGGGTCCCAAACTAGCACTGTCTGGAAGAAAAAAATGTATCTACACACAGACAGGTATATTGAACCATTTATAGATATCCTGGAAATCCCTACTACCTCACCACTGAAGGGTATCTTATATTCTCTCTTGTTTTCAGACACTAAATATGTCATAATGAGAAATGAAACACAATGCTAAAACCCACATGCATAAATCAATACATTAAGCAAATATTATTTTAACAGATAATTTTTCTTTTTTATTTCAGAACTCTCAATACTAGTGGGAGAGTGCAGGCTGCTTTTCATTCCCTTTTTTGCCCGTCCTAAAAATTGTACGTTAAGAACAAGGGGAGCGGAAGGAGAGGAGAGGAGGGGAGGCCACTGTGGCATATTACTGGTCTGGCAGGTGCAAATGTATCCCTGAGGGGAAACTTCTTTTGGCAACTATAAAAGAGCTTTTCAGATTAATATTCGAGAGGTACTTACAGAATGTACAGTGAAATTACACAACCTTTCAAATTTTCAGTCCATTTAACAAAGTGCTTCCAGTTTCCCTTTTATAACAGGTGAAACAATGAATATTGAACAAAATGTTAATCTCTATCATGAGCTTTTTATTAATCTCTGTATTCAGAGCAGAGCATTTATTAAATAAAGGAGTTAAAAGAACAAAAAGCAGAGTAGAGCCACTGGCTTTTAGCAGTTCTTGTTCATTTAATAATTTTTTTCTACTTGGTATATTTCAAGATATTGCTGTGTATTAAGAAAACAAATTTTTATCTTCAGCTTTCAATTTTCTCATTTTAGTAAATATTTTTCATCTCCCAAATGTGTATAAATTCCTTTTATGAGTAATTTATTTTTATCACCTCATACAATATACCTCTGCAGCTGTTTTTATACAGAAGTGACGTACTATAAAACCAAGGAAAATGCAGACAAGATGTTGAAAAGCAGGATGGATGGAAGCACTGCAGATCTGATTTTGCATTAGGGGAGAATAAGTCCCTGTACACCAACACTTTGTTTTACTTTTTCTTCAGTTGTATGGGATTCAGTCTTTAGGGTTTTGTAGCAGAAATCAATCTGTTTGTCAGCCACCTGATGCGACTTTTTGCTGGGATGTAGTTGCAAGCCAAAATACAAGACCATACTGCCAGCTAGTATGAGTCAGCATAGCTTAAGCAGAGCTATTCTGTCACTCCACTTCAGCTTTTTCATAAAAAGTTTGAGCTTTGTTCAAAATTTCAACAAAATATAACAAATATAATGTCTCTAACTTTGCAGAAGAATGCAAAATATTGTCACTGTTGGGCCTATAAATACTACATTAAAACCACCAGCACAAATACACAACTTAATTATCCATCTTATGAGAAGACAAATCCTGTGATCATATTGGCCTCTCTCATTATCCATAAACTCAGTTCAATGAGATGGAAGTCCAAGCATGCAAGATTTAGGTAGATGTGGCATACTTTATCAGCTCCTAGCCTGGATAACAGGGGCAGTCACTATAGCACTGTAGGGAAAAGCTTTCCAATAGTTTAGATATCCACTGTAACTCAGCTCTCTCACGTATTTTAATGAAGCATACAAGCTGGGTGAGACAAAAGATCATAATGAGAAATTAGTGCACCGTCTGCTATATTTTCCACATTGCAACAACTCAAAGTATTTGTGAGTTCCTTCTTGTTTGCTGCTTACTTTACAATTAAAGTTAGAAAGTCAAAGAAATGTTAATATGTCATATATATCATTTTAGCTGCTCAGTGCGAGTACAGACTTACGTGAACCCACAGAACAGACACACAAATGCTGAAAAAAAAATTAAAAAGTTATTTGAAATGGGATTTCTCACCTGCAAAAACTTGCTGGCTGCTTTCATACTGATGGCTTCGATTTGGATGACAGTTTACATTTCTTTAGATTTATGCCAATAGAGTATTGCTGATTTAATAAGAGGAAACAGTGGGGATAAAACAGAAACAATGCAGAATTTTCCCTATTGAGAAAATACCCATAGTGGCTTTGCTCAGCCACTGAGCAAATGGAAATGTCTTCTCCACACAAGCTGTCCCTATTTTTAAATATACAATACAGAATTTATTTACGTTTCCCCAGAAAATCAAATTACAGAATCACAGAATTGCAAAACTGCAGGAGGTGGAGGGGACCTTACAAGATCATTGCGTCTAACTCCCCTGCTAAAGCAGGTTTTATACAATAGGTTGCACAGGTAGACATCCAGCCAGGACTTGAATATCTCCATAGAAGGAGACTGCACAACCTCACTAGCCAACATGCTCATGTGCTCGGTCACCCTAACTGTAAAGAAGTTCTTCCACATGATTGTATGGAACCCACAATCTTTCTGGGTAGCCTGTTCCAGCACCTCACCACTCTTTCTGTAAAGGACTTCCACCTGGCAATCTAAACCTTCACTTATTGAGCTTAAAACCACACTCCCTTGTCCTATCACTGACTACCCTTGTAAAAAATTGATTCTCCTCCTTTTTATAATCCCAACTGTAGACTAAATGTGGCCTCACCAAGGCAGAGGAGAGGGAGAGGATCATCTCCCTTGACTTGCTGGCTACACTCTTTTTCATGCACCCCAGGATACCATTGGCTGTCTTGGCCATAAGGGCATGCTGCTGGCTCATGGCCAACCTGTTGTCTACCAGAACACCCAGGTCCGTCTCTGCAGAGCTCCTCTCCATCAGGTCATCCCCTAACCTGTCCTGATGAGTGTGGATATTCCTCCCCAGGTGCAAGATTCTGCATGTGCTCTTGTTAAACCACATCAGGTTCCTCCCTGACCAAATCTCCTATGAGTCCAGGTCTTGTTGAATGTGTGTTAGCTACCCCCCAGCTTTGTATCCTCAGAAAACTTGTCAAGGGTGGACTTTACCCCTTCATCCAGGTCATTGATGAAGATGTTGTACAAGACCAGACCTAGCACTGATTTCTGGGTACCACTGCTAGCCTCCAGCCAGACTCTGCATTGCTGACAACAACCCTCTGAACTCTGCCAGTCAGCCAGTTCTCAGTCCACCTCACCACCCGCTCATCTATCCCACGCTTTCTAACTTTCATTACAAAGATGCAACAGACAGTGTCAAATGCCTTGCTGAAGTCAAGGTACACAAAATCCACTGCTCTCTGTCCATCTACCCAGCCAGCGATGACATCATGGAAGGCTACCAGGTTGGTCAAGCATAATTTTTTCCTTGGTGAATCCACAGTAAATACTGCTGATAATCTCCTTCTCTTCCAATTGCTTGGAGAGGGTAGTCAGAACAAGTTGTTCCAACACCTTTCCAGGGGACAGAGGTAAGGCTGACTAGCCTGAAGTTTCCCAGATCATCCTTCTTGCCCTCTTTGAAGACTGGAGAGACACCGGCTATCCTCACTATTTCCATGTGCCAAGCACAATAGGAACTTTTTTTTTAATCTATAAATATTAAGGACCATATATACAACCATATGTACAACAAGTTTGTAAGCAAAATAACTGTGGTGCATTGCTGAAGCATATGTAAATAAATATATTTCTCAGGCTTAAAAATCTATTCATATAGGTGGCATTATAAACTGCCATATGTGGCAGTTTTTATTATAATTCGATGTTTTGAATCTTGTGGACTTCAATAATATGAAAGTTAGTAATAATAAAAATAGTTATTAGCAAATAAAAAATAGTAGCTCTAGTTAAAGTTCACTAATTTTTATATTGCTATCCAAATGATCAAAGCTAGAGGAAAAGCTTTTAGTCCTACAGAGGATAAAGAAGCTTGTGTTTTATCTGATTCTTCTTGATGGGACTCCATGCTCAAACTGATCTAATTTGTTTAGACACATCAAAAAGGAAAAGGAAACTTAGAATGTAAGGTAAGATGTTGCTGGCATCACTGGAAAAGTGATGAACAGGGAAAATAATTTTTTTTTTTTTTTTTTTTTTTTTTTTGGGTCACTGTGTCTCTTTGTTTGGGTTTGGTTTTGTGTTTTGTTTTTTTTATTTTTCTTTTTTTTTTTTTTGTAACAATATGGCACTAGCAGGCATTTTTTAAGTAAAGGAAATTTTTTCAGAGGACTAGAAAAGACAAACTGGATTTTAGAGTGCTTAGGTCTGTGAGTTTATTGTTTCAACTTCATGTTGCAAAGGAAAATTTCTAGAAGTGGAAAAGAGTTCAGACAGCAACTGGAAATAATTTGTTTTAAACATTCCACCATAAGTTATCAGAAACAATTGAAAGAACATTTCTGGTATCAAATGTTATTTATTTAGGAGGGAACACATTACTTTTGAGCTATATCAAGTATATCAATTGCATTCACTTATCACATCCACACAGCCAACTTTTTTTTTATTATAGAAGGTGAAAAAGTTGAACACACTGGAAATTCCATTGTTAAATATCAGTGGATTTTTACTGATTTTCTGTTGTATTAGGCACCCACAGGGCTATTGAGATGTGACACAACAGGACCTCCCCTGCTCAGTGATTGGACAATGCATGCTTAAGGGATAGAAGAAGTAGAATATTAATGTATTTAAACAGATGCGACACAGTAATAAACGGCCATTTCTCTATTCACCATATTGGTGTATGCTAAGCACTAATTGGGGGGGGGGGGCTAATCAGTTAACCAAAGGGCAACACAGCATGACCATAACATCTACAGCAACAGTTTTCTTATCTTTCACAGATACGTAATTCTGTAAAAATCTTATTTATGGTCTTTTGAAAAACTGAGGTGAGATTAACTAGCCTTCTTGATCTTATCCCAAATGATATGAGCAATACATACATACACTCTTTGCCAGTCCTGGTTTCTGCATCTTATGGCTTCCCACTTCTCTTCTGAATTCAGAAGTTTTCATCTTAGGCAAAATTCCCAGTGCTTGTATGCAATAGAATGATTATGATTATTATTATTATTTTTACTAGCCTCCTAATAACAAACAAAACAGGGTACTTCTTAAGGGAAAGCTGACCCAAGAGATTCTGCCCAGCAGTTTCCTGAATAGACCAGAGTCCAATATACCATGGCTTGGAGTACTGCTATTCCTCTCCCCAGGATCATCTGAATCCTGGACTCCACTATTTTCTGGGTGCTACTAAAAATAATCATCCAATCTGCCACCCATAACACATTTGCCATTATTCCCCATTTGTGAGCATTAGACAAACAGATCAAGCCGTTCTACTATCTTATTTAGTAAGAAGTCACCAATAAAATTTAGAAACCTGCTTGTCGGTTGCACAAAGCCATGCTATGCTCTCAGCAGATGCCTGGATAGGTGTCAACTCACGTGATAAGCAGGGCACATGGTCAGGACTTCTTTGCTACTTTTTTGATCAGAAGCCACTTCAGGCAGTTTGCAGCAGGTTACAGTTATACAGCTGAAACTACTCCCCTCCAACTTTGGTCCAGGGACTCTTGACAGATGTGTTTCCAGTTGTGCACTTCTATAGAGCATAGCTTCCTCTTGTTATTGTTTGAGTTTTTCAAACAGACCACATCCACCAAGAATTGTACTTCACTCACATATGTGAGGAGTTCATAGAACTTCTCATTTAATAGCCTTGAGACTGCATATAGGCTTCCTTCTGCATAGACACATGGCGCAGGTAGCAAACAAGATCTACTTGCAGTAAGCTTCTAAATGGCCTCTCTTCTGAGTGGGAATGTGAAGACATCCTCCTGCCTTCTCTCAAGAGTTACTCCTTTTGCAGCCAGATTGCCTGAAGTCCTTCTGCCTCAAAGCTCTCATCTGTAGCCTTGCACATCTGCTTACAAAGGTAGTCTTTTCTCTCTTCAACAACCAATTTTCATCTCTTCCTAAACAGGAGAAGACTTCACAGAGATATTTTCAAAATCCATTGTTATGTGCTTTCAGGTACCTTAGTGAAGTAAATAATCAGGTATGAACTATCATACTTCATTTTTCATGGATAATTTTTACTAACACTCGCTGCATAAGAAATGGTCATCTTCTGTCTGTGCATAAATATTCATACAGGTCTCTGCCAATCAGACTACATTGTAGTTCATTAGTAAAAACTCAGAGAAAATATGAAAGTTTCTCAAACAATTTACTAGTCAATCATTTCCTAGTGCAACTAGAGAGTCCCCACGTAGACACTCTTCCTTGAAGAGGAAGCAAGAAAAAAAAACACAAATTATACATAGAATGTATAATCAATGAATAGACAGATGATATAATTAAAAAATATACAAGAAAATTAGGGTAAACAAGTTATCACACTAAAGAAGAATGGATGGAAAGCTTACCTTCATCCTGGACTTTCTGAGAAGACTCCAAGAAGAGCAGTCACCAAAAGAGATCCTTCCCCAATGGTAGTCAGCTCTTAAATGGGGACTAGGAGAGGTAGAACAAGGCTCCACCCCTTCCGGTAGCACAAGTGAATTGCTTTCATCTGTGCTCCCAGAGCTGACTCATTTCTCACCTCAGGTGGAGGTGATCAATCAAAGGTTCAGGCTATGATTCACCAGTTCCTATACAACAGAACTTCATGAAAAATTGTAAGATTGTTGAAGATTCAAAGTACAAAGATTAGAGTATTTAGAACTGGAAAGGAAAAGCTCTCCTAAAATATATCTTACCATCTCCAATATTAAATGATAATCAAACACAAATATATTTGAAATCAAAGCTTTAAGCTTTAAAGATTATAAAAGGCCCAAAGACCAACCTTTACGGAGAAGACATACTCTGATCTCATGTTCAAAACAGGAAGAACAATGGCCATTAACAACAGTTTCATTCCATTCTTTTTGCACAATCTATATTTCTCTAGAGGAAAGAGTTGCTAACTTTAGTAAATGCTCTCTCTTTTCCACTTTCTCTTCATCTTCAAAAATAGTTCTCTACGCTATCAGGCAGAGTGGGAGAAAAGAAAGTATATGATCTCGTTTGGAGTGGGAATATACATGCTCATATGGATTGGAAACTGCTAGACAGATACTTTCTTACTGGATTGGGAATTGCTCAAAAGTGTCTTTTCACAGCAAGAGGTCAAACCATTCAGAGCAGTAACTAAACGCAAGTTGCTATACGGGAGCACAGATTTGCAGAATCAATGAACAGTCCTATAAAGAGTCACCAGTCTCCAGTGCATCTGAAACTCAGCAAAGGGATCTGGCTTGAGCAGTGGGCTCAGGTGAACCTCATGTGGTTCAACAAATCCACATGCAGGGTCTTGCCCCCTTTTCAAGGCAACCCCCATTACCAATACAAACTGCAAGATGAAAGGATTGAGCGCAGACCTGCCAAAAAAAGACCTGAGGGTACTGGTAGGTGGGAAGCTGGACATGAACCAGCAATATGCTCTTGCATCCCAGAAAGCATACCATACCCTGGACTGTATCAAAAGCATGTCCACCAGATTGAGGAAGGTGATCCTGCCCCTCTACTCTGTGAGGCCTTACCTGGAGTACGTCATCCAGATGTGGAGTCCTCAGTACAGGAGAGGCATGGACCTGCTGGAGAGCAAACAGAGGAGGGCCACAGAAATGATTCACAGAATGGAAAACCTCTTATATGAGGACAGGCTGAGAGCTGGGGCTGTTCAGCCTGGAGACGAGAAGGCTCTGAGGTGACCTGATAGCAGCCTTTCAGTATCTAAAGTGGAGCTACAGGAAAGAAGGGGACAGACACTTTGGCAGGGTCTGTAGTGATAAAAAAAGAGGGGAAATGGCTTCAAGCTCAAAGAGGGGAGATTTAGTTATATATAAGGAAAAAATATTTTACAGTAAGGGTGGTGAGGAACTGGAACAGGTTATTTAGTGTTGTGGTTGATGCCCTGTCACTGGAGACTTTCAAGGCCAGGCTGGATCAGGCCCTCGGTAACCTGATCTGGCTGTGGTGTCCCCGTTCATTGCAGGGGGGTTGGACTAGATGGCCTCCAAAGGTCCCTTCCAAGTATAAGTATTCTATGATTCTATACATCTTCAGTGAGTAATGTTTTTTTAATTGTGCTCATGAGAAAGTTCTATTATGTTGGTTATAAGATCAAAGCTTAATTCTCTATCTATCTAATATGAGGGGAATTTTCAATTAGTCCTAGCCTGAGAGCCTGTAGAAAAGGGAACCATCTGCTTCACAGTTTATCCAAATCAGATTGCAACAATGAAGACCACAGAATTATTGACAACAGACGGGCAGTAGGAAAAGAAAATATTTTGCTAAAGAAAGTGTTGTAACTCTTCAAGAATCTTATGTTGCTAGTAATATCACCAACATATTAGTCATCATAGAGATAAGCAAATATACAAAAGGAGTAATAGATTCCACATATGGTTCTCTGATATGAAGGCCCATCTGCACACCATTCAGATGCTGTAATTGCCCCAGAGAAGGTAAGCAGAATATAAAAATTACCAATCAAATGATCATGGACTCCCAGTATATCTGCTAAACCACATTTAATGTTCTTATCCGTCCTGCCATCCTGCTTTCTGTAACAGGAAGATACCTGTGTTCCTGCACCAAAAAGCCACCTGCCTTCCTTATTCTCCTCTTACATGGTCCATTTGAAACAGACTGCCCTTTCACCTCTCTCACTTCAGGCACACTCAGCTGCATTGACCACCACCAATGAAGAACTGTCAGTGTGCACATATCTCAACACTTTAAAACATCCATCAGTAACATGAACCCATTTCTAGGGAACCTCCATGCTCTCCACTTCATCCATCTGCATTGCCAGCATCCAGCCCAGAAATTGTCTTTTGCTTGCCAAATAACTGATGGACGGAGTCTGTGCTTTCAACAGCCTGGGTTTTCCACAGATCAAAAAACAATCTTTGTAGTGGAACAGTCAGAGTTTGATCAGCAGTTTGGTGGAAGCACTATTACTATGGGGAATATGTGTAATGTACTCAATTAGATGTATTACCTGTGTTTAAAATCAGCTTTCAACATTTGCTGCACAAGTCATTCTGGCTTTTCTTGTGGCCCAAAGCAAGCACTGGGGAAACTGAAGAAGGCAGAAAGACAAAATTAATAGCTGCTAAAATCAAAATGTCACAACAGTTTTGCCTCAGAAGTGCCCTTTTGATAATCACTGCGAAGAATTCAGCTAAATTGAAATAGTTGCAGGCTTGTGGCTTCTCTGTAATGATATCAAATCTGTTCAGGTAGTCTGAGAGGGCAGGTTTTGCTACCTGACTTTGAATAGAGAACATGCATGCTGTTCAAATCAGTGGCTTTCCTGACATATAAATCATGTTCATATGTATACACTTACCAAATAGAAACACAGAATCACCAAATCATAGAAAGGCCTACATTGGAAGGCTCCCTAAAGGTCTCTCAGCCCCAATCCCTGCCATGGGCAGGGTTGCCCCCCACCAGCTCAGGCTACTCAGGGCCCCATCCAACCTGGCCTTGAGCACCTCCAGAGATGGGGCACCCACAACTTTTCAGCACTCTGAATAAAGAATTTCTTCTTCTTTCCCCTCTTTTAGCTTAAAGACATTCCCCCTTTTTCTATCGCTATCAGCCTGTGTAAAAAGTGAGTCTCTGTTCTGCTTATTAGCATCCCTCTGGTACTGAAAGTTTCCTTGGAGCTTTGTCTTCTCCAATCTAAATAAACTCAACTCTCCCAAACTCTCTTCAAAGGAGAGGTGTTCCAGCCCTCTGATCATTTTTGTGACCTTCCTCTGGACTCACTCCAACACTCTGGACACTCCAACTTCCACATCCCTTCTGTACTGGGTGTCCCAAGCCTGGACATATTTCTCCAGATGGGGCCTCATGAGGGTAGAGTAGAGGGGGACAACCCCCTACCTCATCCTGCTGACCACCCCTCTATTGCTACAGCCATGATCATGAGGCAATCTACTCGGCACCTAGCCTGAGGTCTGCCGATGGGTATCAGGGTTCTCGAAGGGGGAAACTGATCCTTGCCTAGGAGCTGGCAGGGCTTTAGACTAGATATGAATGGGGAAGGGGATAAAACCAGGCCCACTAGAGATGACTCTGGGGGAGCAGTAATGGGATTATGGGTGAGGTGAGGGGCTCAGCTGAAGTGCATCTACACCAGTGCACACAGCATGGGCAACAAACAAAAAGAGTTGGAAGCCATTGAGTGGCAGGCTAACTATGACCTAGTTGCCATTATGGAAACATGGTGGTGACTGGAGAGCTGCAAACTCTTGGCTTCAAACTCTTCAGGAAGAACAGGCAAGGAAGGGGGGGTGGCGACATGGCTCTCTATATTAGAGAATGCTTTGATGTTATTGAGCTTGAGGCTGGGGATAAGGCTGAATCCCTATGGGTAAAGATCAGGGGAAGGGCTGACAACACAGACGTCCTGGTGGGCGTCTGCTATAGACTGCCGAACCAGGATGAAGAGACAGATGAGGTGTTTTACGAGCAGCTGGCAGAAGCTGTGCGATCGCCAGCCCTTGTTCTCATAGGGGATTTCAACTTCCCCGACATATGCTGGGAATACAACACTGTGCAGAAGAAGCAGTCTAGGAGGTTTCTGGAGTGTATAGAGGATAACTTTCTGATGCAGCTGGTGAGAGAACCTTATGAGAGGAGCTGCCCCTCTGGACCTGCTGTTCACAAACAGAGAAGGGAGATGTGGAGATAAGGGACTGTCTTGGACAGAGTGACCATGAGTAGAGTTCTCGAACCTTAGTGGAGCCAGGAGGGGGAGCAGCAAAACTGCTACCTTGGACTTCCGGAGGGCGGACTTTGAATTGTTCAGACGACTAGTAGGAGGAGTCCCCTGGGATTCAGTCTTAGAGACTAAAGGGGTCCAAGATGGATGGTCACTTTTCAAGAAGGAAGTCTTAAAGGTGCAGGAGCAGGCTGTCCCCCTGAGCCGCAAAATGAGCTGGCGGGGAAGAAAGCCAGCATGGATGAATAGGGAGCTATTCTTGAGGCTCTGGGAGAAAAAGAGAATCTACCACCTCTGGAAGAAGGACAGGCAACTCAGAAAGAGTACAGAGAAGCTGTTAAGATGTGCAGAGAGAAAATCAGAAAAGCAAAAGGCCAGCTTGAACTCAATCTAGCTGCTGGGGTAAAAAAGAACAAGAAACTCTTTTACAAATATATCAACAGTAAGAGGAAGACTAAGGAGAATCTCCACTCTTTATTGGATGAGGCTGGGAATGTGACCACTGAGGATAAGGAAAAAGCAGATGCCTTCTTTACATCTGTCTTTAAAGTCAGACCTTTTGTCCTCAGGGTACTCCAGTCTCTGACCTGGTAGTCTCAACTGGGGAGCAGACTAAACCCCCACGATTCAGGAGGACACAGTCAGAGACCTACTACTTCAACTGGACTGCCACAAGTCCATGGCGCTGGATGAGATTCACCTGAGAGTGCTGAGGGAACTGGCAGAGGTGATAGCTGAGCCACTTTCCATTATCTATCTGTGCTCCTTGTTGACTGGTAAGATCCCAGAAGACTGGAGGCTTGCCAGCACAGAACTAAGCAGTTGTTCGAACTTCTGAATTTCTTGGCAGAAAACTTCCATGACTCCCATCTCCAAGAAAGGCTGTAAGGAGGATCCGGGGAACTACAGGCCTGTTAGCCAGACCTCAGTGCTAGGGAAGGTTATAGAGCAGATTTTCTTGAGGGAGATCACACGACATTTGCGGGACAACCAGGGGATCAGGCCTAGACAGCATGGGTTCACGAAGGGCAGGTCCTGCTTGACAAACCTGATCTCCTTCTATGATCTAGTGACCCGTCTGGTGGATGAAGGAAAGGCTGTTGATGTAGACTACCTAGACCTCAGCAAAGCCTTTGACACAGTATTCTCCAGCAGAAGCTGGCAGCCCATGGCTTGGACAGGTACACTCTTGACTGGGTAAGGAACTATCTGGAGGGCCGGACCCAGAGAGTGGTAGTGAATGGAGTTAAATCCAGCTGGCAATCGGTCATGAGTGGTGTTCCCCAGGGGTCGGTGCTGGGGCCTGTGCTCTTCAATACCTTTATTGATGACCTGAGGGCATTGAGTGCACCCTCAGTAAGTTTGCAGATGACACCAAGTTGGCTGGAAGTGTTGATCTGCCTGGAGATAGCGAGGCCCTACAGAGGGATCTGGACAGGCTGGATAGCTGGGCTGAAGCCAATGGGATGACGTTCAACAAGGCCAAATGCCGGGTCCTGCACTTTGACCACAACAACCCCAGGCAACGCTACAGGCTTGGGGCAGAGTGGCTGGAAGACTGCGTAGAGGAAATGGACCTGGGGGTATTGATTGATGCTCGGCTGAACATGAGCCAGCAGTGTGCCCGGGTGGCCAAGAAGGCCAATGGCATCCTGGCTTGTATCAGAAACAGTGTTGCCAGCAGGAACAGGGAAGTGACTGTCCCCCTGTACTCAGCTCTGGTGAGGCCGCACCTCGAGTACTGTGTCCAGTTTTGGGCCCCTCACTGCAAGAAAGACATTGAGGCCCTGGAGCGGGTTCAAAGAAGGGCGACAAAGCTGGTGAGGGGTCTGGAGCACAGGCCTTATGAGGAGCGGCTGAGGGAGCTGGGATTGTTCAGTCTGGAGAAGAGGAGGCTCAGGGGAGATGTTATTGCTCTCTATAACTACCTGAAGGGAGGTTGTAGTGAGCTGGGGGTCGGCCTCTTCTCTCATGTGACTAGTGATAGGACTAGAGGGAATGGCTTCAAGCTGCACCAGGGGATATTCAGGCTGGATGTTAGGAA